GATGGCCCGGGAGGCCCCTTCTGACTCGCTCTGTTTCTGTGTTACTATGTACTACCCACTAACTGCCCACCCACATATAGATGCACAAAACCCAGAAGGAGTCAGGTGGTTTTCCTGTGCAAAGAACAAATTTAATGCCTGAATTCACACAACATGACAACCCAAGTTAAAAGTTGAGTATTGGTTGAACTATGGATTGTCACTAACTGTGGATTGTTGAACCCAGTTGTGCTAAGCATGCTTTTTTAACCACAAACAACCCATAATTCACAATACAATAAACCATGGATTCCTTTTGTTGGTTTTTTGTGGTTAATAAACTGTGCTTCTTAGCATGACTATGTTCACACAACACAGCAGCCCATGGGCCAGCAACTACGGTCACAGAATGACACAATAACAGTTTTGCATATATTTTACTTTTAACGTTAATTGTTTCAGTCTATACTTTTTGCTGAATTTCCTTTACTATCACTCACAATTCACCTCCCACATATCCAGATCTGTAAGTACATTGATCTGCCAATTTAGGATTAGTCTTCATGCTTTCAATGAAGTGGGCACCAGTCCACAAGTGTGTATGTCATAATATACTTGTCCTTTAGGTGGCACAAATCCACTTGCCGTTGTTTCTCAGCTACAGACTAATGGGGTTATCTTTGGATCTTGCCTGTAGAAACACTTTCTAAATTTCACAAATTCAAAACAGAAAAATTCTATGCATTAAATTTGACAAAATTTGGTTGTCAGCATCTTGTTTCCCTAGTCACATTCTATGTTCCAATAAAACAGAGGGTTGCACAGCTGCAGTTTATTGCTATGCCTTGCATAGTGTTCTATAAGTGCCTGGCTCTTGTTATTGTAAATTTTATTTTAAAATCTTTTAAAAAAAATCAAACCCTTTTTGTGACTCTTGTTTGGAGGAATCACTGTGCTTTCCTTAGAGTTTTTTTTAATACCCTGAGCCCCATTCACTCCATCTAATTATGTCATATTCTAAGAGGTGTGTATATGTTTTAACTGGGGATACTCATACAAATTTATGTGCACAATTTAAATGCTGGGATGTAAATGGAGGAGAAAGTTTTGCACCTGTTATAACAGAGCAGTACACATTTCCCTTTCATTTACTTCCAAGCTGTTAAACTTCAGTACATGTCTGCAGGTTTTGTAAGCTATGAGTGAACCTTCGTAACTGCAGCAGTACCTTTCTGTAATAGAACCTGCAAAAACGGGCTGGGGAAGTTTATATTTCCTTTTCTGCAGTACCTGGAGAATCTGGGAGCTGGGGAGTGTTGAAAAGGTGGACAACACTGAAAAGTGTTGGTTTAGCACTAAAAACTGGAGGGACTTATTGTCAGGAGAAATTGTCATCCCTCTGGTACATTTACCCCTTGGGCTTCTGACCAGCACTTCCTCCTCCTTCCTTTCTCTTAATGTCATTTCTTCCCTTCCCTATCAGAATAGTGTACAAATTAGCCAACAGACAACCCAGACCTTTCAACTACCTTGCATGTTACCTATTGTCCTTGGCTGCTCCCTTTGATAGCTGAAGCATACCAGGAAATTAACCTGGTATGAGCAAGACTACTCAGATAGTGATAAGTGCACAAACCTGACAAAGATAATTAAAAAATGGCAACCCTGACTGTATGTTTTTGAGGCACTGAAGTATTTTTATAAAAAAATCCAGGGACTGAGCGATAGTCCTTCCTAAATTCCACTTGGATATTAGGGAAAGGGCAGGCACTGGTGATCTCAAGAAAAATGAGCAGCACTGGCTGTTTTCTTTTTCTTCTTTCTTTGGTTACTCTTGCTATGAGGCTCTGTAGCCGAACCCAACAAGCCACAATAAAATCAATCTCCTGGGTTCAGATGACACAACAATCCATCATGGGCAAGAACAATAAGTCAAGCATTTCTTAAATTGTCTGTCTCCCCCATACATACATATATATATATATATATATATATATATATTTATTTATTTATTTATTTATTTATATTTATATAAAAAAAGAGATAAGGAAAAAAAGACATCCTACAGGAAACACTCCTGGTTTGGATGACATGACTGCCAACCATGCCTGGCTGCTCATGGAGGGCTGCCATGTCCTGTTAGCCCTATCTTTATGACCTGGGTTGCATCTCATCAAAAGCCATTAAACCCAATGCCCTCCCCCAGCCCCCGGCAAAAAAAAATCCCGAAAATTGGAGGTTGCTGACAATGCAGAAGGAGCAAACAAATGTGATGATTCTTATTGACCTTCTTACTTTGATAAACAAACAAGGGCTGTTACACCCCTGGGTTGCTTAGTGTACAGTCTGAACTGGAAACTGTGGACTACTGGGGCATGAAAAGCCCAGAGTTTGAAGCCACCTGGGTTCAAACGCTGGGTTCTTCATTCCCTAAACCCAAATTCTGGGTTCAGACATCATGATTTAAAAAAAAAAATGCAGGGGCAGGCTGTCCTTGGGTTGTTTAGTTCTGCCTGGCAGCAGAGGGAGCATCTGCGCAGGCAGCATTAAACCAGCACACTGACTCCTTCCTGCTGCAAGAACCCAGTTTGTTAACCATGGATTATTACGATATGTGAACCCAGCCATTAAAATTTTAGGACATTATACATCAGAATTTCTATCTTCACATTCCTACTACTGTAGCACTAGAAATCAGGGATACCTGAGAAAATAAACTGTCATGAAATTTAAGATGGTTTCATGGAAATATTTCACATGACGTGTATATCAGCCAAAGGAACTTGCTGCTGCAGCTGGGAAAATGCTTCTATAATCACCACAATCACCTTCTAGCAGTGATTAAGAAAATTCATGGGTACAGGTCTGCCAAGTGCAATTGCTCATGATGGCTCCATGAACCTCCAGGTTCAGAGACAATATGTTACCAAATGATCACGGTTAGAGTGCAACAACAGGTTAGGGCTATTTCCATGCCCTTCTAGTGCACTTCTTGGAAACATGTGGCTGGTGGCAGATATAAACAGGGTGCTGGGCCAAGTTATATGGAGCCTGTTCCAAGACATTTTACCTAATTACTAACTTCAGGTTTTACCATGCACATCATTAACCAATGAATGGGAGTTGTTCACATATTCAAAGCATTGTAGCATCCCAGATACACATTAGTATGAATTAAATTGGGATTAAATGGCTCAAAAATCATACCTTATTTATTTATTTAAAACATTTCTATGCTGCCCCTATCGCAACAAAGCCTCGGGGCAACTCACAAAGAATACATAAAAACATCCATAACTAATAATAATATAACAATTTAAAAGAAAAAATACAACATTAAAAAACCCCTGGTGCATTCTCGGCTAAAAATTTTAAAATCCTAATTAATATAATAATTTAGCAATTAAAATAAGTTTTAAATAAAAAGGTCTTAGCCTGGCGCCGAAAAACAAATAACGATGGCGCCAGGCAGACCTCTCTGGGGAGCGCATTCCATAGATTTCAGTTTGTATTGGCTGCTAAAAGGCATTGGTCAGGCATTTAATATATAAAGTGACTGTCCCCAAAAAGAGTGCATGGATTTAAGCCAACTCTTAATTAACATTCTGACAAAGCATGGTCATAAAAGAGGGAAACATCGAGATGTACAGGAGATAAAAAGCAGATTAATGACAGTGTCCAATTTTATAGGTGCCATGTTCAACTTATTTTAAAAGAAAATGCAAATAGTGTTTCTAACTGTCCCAGCCTAAATAGAAAGAAATAACTAGTAGTAACAAACTTTAAAATCTGATCTTTGTATTCAAAAAAGCCTGAACAAGACAGAGATGAATTTGTAATGCCTAACCTCCAGATTTGGTTCTTAAAAGCAGCCAAGAATCAGAAATTATTGCAATGATCCGTATCTTTCCTTTCTGAATTTCTTTTCAGGCACAGCTTGGATCAAACATCCTGTAGATTAGGAGTGATGTAGATAGTTTTGCATGCTTGGAAGAAATCGTTTTACAGCTTTTATTTGCCACAGGAAGCTATCTAACTAGTGGAATTAGATACTTTTCAAACAGACAGACCAGACAGACAGACAGACAGAATAGTGCTACTTCTTTTAGACAGATGCAGTTGTCAGAGCCTCCTGCTGTGTCTAGTCAACAGAGGGACCTGATTTGAAGTTCAGAAGGACAGATGGTTTATCTGGGAACTTGTCCAGATTTTTAGTACGCTTGCACACGCTCACGCTCACACACACCTGGATTGCATTGAGTATTTGTCCCTTTGGTCCTCAACAAATGCTACTGTAGTTTTGAGTAGATATACTCAACAAATTGCTGGATGCATAAAGGTTGATGGCCCCTCTGCTACTGTGCAGTGCAATTCAGTCCCAGGCAGCATAGCAGTCATCAGGAATGCTGGGAACTATATTCCGAAACCTTTGAAAAACACTAGGTTTGGGAAAGCCGGCCTATTTTTAGGGTTCTGTTTTTAAAACATCTGACAAGTGTATACAGGAATGTTTCACTTTTTTGTCTTCTGTATTATTTTAAGAAGTTTCTTATTCTGTAAAGAGGTAATTGTGGCTACAGCTAAGCAAAAAAGTCATGGCAAGAGGCAATTAAAATCATCCCCTTTACTTTCTGCAAAAAGCCTAAGTTGCCAGTGGAACTGGAATGGGCAATCCACCTCTCCCTATTGGCCGCTGTGCACCCTCAACATCAGCTCCAGAGAGCTGTGAAATCTTATGGAGCAGGGAGGAAGATGTTGAGATGAAGCTGCTTTCCCTGTGGCTGAGGCTGTCTTCTGGTCTTGCTGTGCACCACCACATTGACCTGACCATCTCAACAACAGGAAAGCGGTTCTTCTTCTCTTCTGTCTCCTTGACTGCCTTCTTCACATGCAAAGTAAGGATAAGAGCTTCCCTGGTTCGCACTGCCACTGCTGCATTGCCCAGTCCAATCGGCTACATGATGCCATAATGTCACAACTCTGACAGGATGTGCTGAAACCATAAATAGCTGCCTCCTTACCTGTGAACCAGCTGTTTGCGGCTTACACAAATGGCTGTCTCGTAGTCATGAGTTACACACACTTTGTGTGGGCTGCACTTTACCTTCAAACATGGGTCTTTGGATGGATCAAGAGCTAGGAAAAACAAGACACGAAGAAGCAGATTAGAAAATTAACTCTCCATACATATTAGCCAAAATAATGAGCCAGACGTCTCATGAAGAAATCAATAGGACTACGCAGGGTAAAAAGTACTCTTGACTATTTATGTCACTTATACTCACCAGGGAGAGTCTATGCCAGGGGTCTCAAACTCGTGGGCTGCGGGCCAATTGCCGGGCCGGGTGGGGCATGGGGGAAGGGCCCTGCGGCCTTCAAAGCGCCAGCAGCGCCCAGGCCAGCCTCCGGGAGCCACGCGGGATGAGCGGCCCACCACCACCGCAGGGGTGGGATACTTGATGCGGCCCAGCCTCACCCAGACTCTACTTCCAGCGGCCCCCAGGTAAGTCGAGCTTGAGACCCCTGGTCTATGCCATCATCCGATGAGCCAAGGTCATCCTAGGAACTTTATAACCAACTCATTTGGACTTGAAGCTAGAGCCGAGATATATTACACACGCTAAGCCGTGCTCTTGCTGGTTCTGCAGAACCACAGCAAGGTATAGCTGTGAGAATCCTCTAGTCTACCCCTCTCCTCCCAACATCATCATTTAGGCATGGCTGCCCATAACTACGGTCAGTCGATGTGGGCCTGTTTCATGAGTCATTCGCTAGTTTTAGTTTTTAATCCCAGTTGCCTTGATGGCTCCTGTTTGACTGCTGCTGTGGGCAGAAGCAACTAACAAGTCAGGGACACTGCTCCTTGGGCTTCCTTAGAGTAGAATCCAAAGCAGTTGCTCTGGCTTATCTCTCCCTCGACCCACAACAAAACCTGGATGGAAGAGACAAAGGAATAAATTTTGAAGTAAAATACTAGGTGCTGGCCTGTAGAAAGCATCTCTGCTTGATCACCAAAATATGAGAGGGGCTGTTCAAAACTATTTTTAGCTAAAACAAGCAGAAGTATTGTGGAAGATTAGCACACAGAACATCAGCAGTCTGCCATGTGTAGAAGTCTGGACTGTAGCCCAAAGTCGCTGTATCTACTGAAATAACAACTTCATGACAGGCTATTTAATGATTACTACTGTGTACCAGGGCATGTAATGATTGCTGAGCCTCACATGAAACTTAGCAATCTTGTGTTAGCACAATGTATGATTTCCTATATTTGATCCAACGTAACTCTAAAATCAACAAAAACACAGCATGCTAGTTCCTGCTAGTGCCAGCATGACACATAAATACTAGTGTGAAATGGAGATGCTATCATTACTGAAACAATCGCACTTTTAAAAACTGCATTTCATTTGTGAAGAATCCCCCAAAAACCCCTTTTGAAGCTTTTGGTATACAGATATGAATGGTGCTCTATTTGTCAGTTAAATACAGTTACATCTGGGTTAAATTACCGTTATACTGCAGTACAATGGAGCACCAATCCATGCTGTAGGTTTGAAGGAATGCAAAATGTCCTATCACAGCAAAACTGCAATCTGACTTTTTAATACCATAGAATAATATTATGTACAAATTTGGAATTTTGCCAGGATAGGATTAAAACCTTTCACATCCTAAAATGTTCTTTTGGGAGTAAAAGCATCCCACTGATGTTCTGCCAATAATAGGAAGCTCCTATAAAATTGTCCCTTTGAACCCACAATAAATCCTTTCCTGTATATATTCAGCTCTAGAACAGAAGGTATGGTATGCTGATTTCTTCCTGAAATATTTTGGTAAACAGGAGAACACTAAACCCACAGAGCTCCCCTCCCAACTCCCAGATTCATATTTTGGAGTTTCCAACATTTACATAGGTGTTTTCTAACCAAACTGCTTCCCAGATATCAGGTCTGTACAGAACTGGTTCAGCAAGTTTGATTTGCCTCCAACATGCATGCATTCCATATCTGTGCTTCAGGCTCCTCCATGCAATCAGAAACCCCCAAGGTTTCCAATGATGTGGAAGAGCAGAGTTGTCTTTTAGGATAACACATTCATTTGGGGAGCCCAGTTGGGAAGTGTGTCGATGCCAGTCAGAGGCAGGATTCCATTTCCCCCACCCATGTTGAATGAGCCTGCGCAGGATAAAGTACTGCACAGCCCCATTATCCCAGAAATCAGCAGAGTGGCCATATTAGACAGATAAGCATATTATTATCCTGATGTTGCAGAAAAAGATCAGAGGCTGAACATTAGTGTCCAAGACTACTTAAGATCTCATGGCTGGGAGGATGTTTATACCACGGAGCACCTGGTTCACAGTTCAGTACTTTCAGATTCTACTCTTACACTAAGTAGCTCCCACATAGCTAGGTGAAGATGTCTGCACCTTCCTTCGCAAAAAGCATACTGAAAAAACAGTGCAATCTTCTTTGAAATAGACATTTAATCCAAGGACACTCACCAAGCAGTTATGAAACCCCTTGCTTCCTAATGGAAGAACCTTGGAAATCTTAGAATTCATTCTGAATATACATTTTTTACTTATGTGGTTGCTGAGAATTTATGAGGGCAAGCCATATGCCTTCTAAAGCAATTTCCAAGGACTCCAAAATTTATTTGCAAGACTCACACTTTCTAAACTTTTACCACATTTTTCTAATTCATATTTCAGTGAGGTCAGGACCAGCTTTCAAGCCTGTTCAAAGATGCTATATTTCTACCCTAGAATTGTACAAATGGTATTGCAGAAGTAGTAGCAGACAAACCTTAGCCATGACATCTGTGAGGTCCACACCACTATGGCATATTAATATAATTACGTGCCTATTTAATGTGCAGAGTAGCTGTACCTCCCATCTCATGATACATATTAACAGGACCTCTTAGAGGTGAACAAGTTTTCTACATTGGCATTCATCCATGCTGAAGGAAAAACAGCATGTCCTTCAGATGTATGCATATGAGGCTCATTATGTCTGACAAAGAGAAATTAGCAGTGTCCAGGAAGAGGAATGGAACCCTTTGTGGGTGTGATCTTCTGGTCCTTTGGTGGATGCTCTCATGCAGTAATCACGCTCACTGGCTTTCTCCAAGTCTAGCTTGATTCTGAAACAGCTTTGAAGGATGCCTTCCCCAACACTTTCCCTTTCCCCTATCATTCTGCAGCCCCATCCTACAATATGAAATCCCACACTGAAGAGGATTAAGAAGGTCGAAGCCACAGAGCAAGGCACCATGTATTCCAAAGCCAACTGAGATTGAAATCAACCTTGCAATTAAGAGGCAGGGGGACACAGAAAAGAAAGTAACACTATTCTGCCTGCAATCCCCCTTTGGCCAGGGATTTGATTCACATCCAGCTTTGCTCAGATGCCCATGCTTTCCCCAGGGTGCCTCTGCCATTCATCTTTTACTTTTGTGCTGCTCACAGGAATGATTAACATCTTTATAACATAAAGGAACGAAACCCAACGGCACAGTTGCACACACACCTTCATTCACATCACCACTTGCCTTATCATATCAGCTATTTCTCTTGTATTTATCTGCTGTTTATATGTGTGACCCCATATGCTGAGCAAAAACCTCTAGGTCAGAGGTCCCCAGCCTTTGTGGATCTATGAGCAAATCTGGGAATTTGAGAACCTATTGTGAGTGCAACACAAAACACTTAATTGATGGATTAACGGATTGGTGCCTCCCTGTCTATGGATCTCAGGCTGCATCTCATTGACCAAAATGCTTGTTTCGTGTCAACTAGACACCACAATGTCCCTTTAATAAGGGATTATCTAATTCAACTAACTGCTGACTGTAAAATACAGCTAATACTTTTTTTAAACACTTGTTTTTACAATGTCCATTAGTTGCTTCTTTTGGAGAAGAGGTTACTACACAGATCAACTGTGTATTGGAGGAGTATTTAATGTTCACCATTGTATACATGCTTTTAAATTATACCAGCTTCACAGAGATTAATAAATGCTGCATCCTTTTGACAGCTGAAGACTGATGTTATAAAACTGCAAGCTTAAACACTCATCTCCCATAATGCAATTGATTAATGACTTTACAATTCTCTCAATATTTGAATGTTGTAATATAGATAATTCAAATGGATAGTTATTTGGGGACATACCCTGTTTTTGTCAAAGTCTATGCATACATGCTAAAATGTTGCATGTGTTTCAGATGTGTTCATTGTTACAGACATGTTTATGCCTAGGTATACAGTATATATTAAAACCAAAATAAAGAATGGGAAAAAAGATCTGTAGGTCACATGAGCCTCCACACTGGGGATCACTTCAAGGCACACTGGAACTGCCTGCAGGCACTATGCTGTGTACTCAAGGCAGTGTCAGATATCCTGATAAATTCTAAATGCCTAATCAAACTCACAAGCTTTCCCAAATTCACTCCCTGGCATCTCCAGGTATAGCTCAAAGGACTGTTGTCTGAAGCCTTGGAGACCCACTGCAAGTCTGTGGAAACCTCTTGAGACCACTGGGCACTCTTAGCAATGTGTGAACCTGGGCACAGATGCAAAATGGGTATGCTACCTCAATCCTTCCCAAAAGGAGGGTCGCGGTGGGTCAGGTGCACCTGGGGCAATGAAAGAGTTAATGGCGTTGGCCTGCCTGGGTGCAGGTACCATATTAGCATGGGAATAGCAGCAGCAGGTGCTACCTAACTCCATGAAGATGAAGCAGCTGTACTCTGCTCGCTCGCTCTCTCTCTCTCTCTCTCTCTCTCTCTCTCTGTGTGTGTGTTGTGATAGATAGTTGCAGTGCTTTTTTTGTAAGAAAAAAGGTGCCGGAACTCATGCAATTATTTACCTTTTGCACTTAGTCAATCACTGTACATACATCCACACGTCAGTTGTGTAACGAAACATAATGGTTGCCACCCGCAGTAAGCTCAGCGCGCAACCACATGACCAATCACAAGCCGAGCAGCACCATCACAACCAGCGCGGGCGAAGCACGCATGCATTGGACTCAACACACAAGCAGCCCGCAGGCACCGTTTTAATGATTTTACTGCCAACCTGCTATGCTCGACAGGGCGATTTGAATCCATGTGGACCA